ACTTGAACTATATTTTTTTTGACCAGTTTATTCTTTTATGTTGTCCATGTATGTTGTTCTTGGTCTTCTTTTCAAACATTTCTTATTTACTAGTAGCTTTCTTTCCAGTAGCAATTGTTGCAAATGATCCTTTCAATGTCAAACCTGCCAAATTTATGTAAAAATGGGAATTTTCTGCAAAAGAAAAAAAATTGTTTGTGCCTTTTTTCAGAAACTACACAGACCTAAGCTGTCATATTATAATGAAGTGTTACTCTTATGGTCTCCTTTCATCTTCTTAAGTTTGAGGTCAATCGGTGCATTTCTATGGGAGAAGCAGTCATTTGGTGCCAAAACTCATAAGTCTCTTACACCTATTTTTGAACTTAAAATGCTAGAGACCTCTTGTTTGTTGCATTTTGTAGAGCTTGTCAAGCCCAACACTGGAATTGGTGTCAGTTTTTATGTACAGACACATTGACCTAATCTCTTCGAACTGATGAATATTCATAAATTCAGGTCGAATTTGAAAATCAGCATGATCTTACCATTTTTTTCTGTACAGACGGATGTGTCTGCACATATAGCCTTTGCTTATGCTGTCGTTGTCGTCATCGTGCACTTTCATTATTATATAACAGTACTCTGAAGTGCCAAATAATAGTGCCTACTGGAATAATTGTGCCCCCTGAAAATTTTCAGAAATTAATAATAGTGCCTAGCCAAATAATTGTGCCCCCTGGAAAAATTCCCGATATTTAATAATAGTGTTTGAGGGAATAATTGTGCTGCACTATTATTAGACACTTCAGAGTAAGCTAATATGAAAACTGTCTTACCTTTAATCTTTTAGCTCATAGAACTGATGAATATTCATAAAAACACAAGTGAAATGCGAAAATCAGCCTGATCAGACCATTGTTCCATTTTTTTTTCCAGCATATTCTATCTACCCTTATTGGATAAAAAACATGAAACTATCTTTTGTCGGAACTGATGAATATTCATAAAATACAGGTCAAGTTTGAAAATTAGCCTGTTCCATACCATTTTTCAAAAAGGTATGCTTTTTTTTTAAGGTTATTTAATCTATGGTTAAACAATTAAAATGAAAACCATTTCAATTTTTGTCTTCAAACTTGCAGAACTGATAAATATACATAAAATACAGGTCAAGTTTTAAAATCAGTCTGATCAGACTATTTCTCCGAAAGTTGTGCTGTTTTTTGCTTTTTTCAGCATATTTTATCCACCATGGATTTGATTCTTAGGCATGTTAACAGTGTCATTATTGAACTAATTAGACAGTCATGTAAAAGTGTTCTTTTAGCATTTTCTGCACCTAAACAATTTTGGTAGTTGATTGTATAAAAATGATGGTTAACCTGTAATCTTGTATTGTGTAATAAAGTGTCAAAAATGGAAATAAAGTCACATCAGTGCAGTTTCAATCTCTCACTATGTTCAGAATCTCAAAATGGTGCAAATTGGAAATTTAAAATTGTTCTATTGATATTTTTCTCATCTCAGCAGTCTTTTATGTACAAACACAGCTGATGTGTCTCTACATATAGCAGTTACCTGTGTCTGTCGTTGTCGTCGTCGCCATGCACTTTCACCGTTAACACGATTAGTGGAAAGCCATTTTACCTTTTGGCTTGAAACTTACAGAACTGATGAATATTCATAAAATGCGGGTCAAGCTAAAAAATCAGCATGATTGGGCCATTTTGTCAAAAGTAAGGCTGTTTTTATGCTTTTTTTTTTTTAGCATGTATCCAACACCAATAACATGATAAGTGGAAAACTGTTTTACCGTTTAGCAAGAAACTTTCAGCATTCCTTTACTTAAACAGTATATATATATTTTTTTTTAATGTTTTTTTTTCACCCTCTCACACAGAGGATGTCATCCATAAAAATAAAAAAGTGTGGCCTTATGTTCTTTCACCACGAATCGCGTTCGAAGAAGCGACCAAACTTTTAAACCATCTTTACGTAAAACATTGATATGCCACAGGCTCAATATAAACAGAAGTACCAATAACTGAGAAATCAAATTTATTGAGTTAATCAGGTGGCCTCATTTCTATGCTAACAACGTTATTTTCAAAAAGAAAGTTTATCAGGAAACATTTGCCCTGCCGTGTTAACATATGCTTGGCAGCATGGACCACTCTTTTGATAGCTGTTTGTGTGTCGTGAGCAATCGACAATGCAGGAGCAAGTAATATCGGGAGCAGGGGGCTTCCCCATACGGAATCACTCTATTCGTTTGAGACAGATACTATGATTGGCTAGCTTACTTTGCTGTGAATGCTATCATTTTTATAACTTGCCTGATAAGTAAATGGAGGGGAAAAAAACGCTGTGGGTTATATATAATTTTATTAGTGAAGTATGTCAAATGATGACTTAAATTCAAAATGGTGACACTAAAAAATCTTGCTGGTCCTTTGGACTGCCGAAGTTCAATTTTTTACCATCTTGACAAGTTTTGGCTGGTCATCAGTGATCAGACCTACAGTTTCATCATGACTGAAATTACAGGAAAGAAACAGGACTTAAATACAGCTTTAGCTGGAAAACAAGTCTTATTGGTTGATTTTTCTGGCCATTGAATGAGATAACATAAGTAAACATACATTACACATATGTTGAGATTTCCCTGTAAACTCCCATATGTTTAGCTCTCTGCATGATACAGTTTGTAAAAGTCTAAAATTAACAGTGTCACATAATTAGGAATCAGTGATAATTATGCAGGTAAATGTTGCTTAATATTGCATATAATTTTACAAAAGAAAAAAATTATTTTGCGTAATGCGAACATAAATGCTATAGATGAATAACAGTGCCTTATTATCCTCATACTCACTGGGGTTATTCGTATCGTGTTAATACAACTAGATTAAAAGTTTGAATAGAGCTTTGTTGGAATATTTTTTGTTGTTTTTTTTTTTAAATTTTTTTTCAAACACTGGCATCTTCAAGATGTGACTTTTAACTCCCACCCACCTGAAGCTTTGTACATTTTCTGTATTTCCACATAAGCTATAATATTGGTGTTAATACCTTTAAACATTATACAAAATTATTTTATGCACTATCATTTTTCTCATTTTTCACAATATGTGAAAAATGATGATGTTGCATAAATTGATTTTGTATAATGTTTAAAGGTAAATGTTTGAACTCTGATGATCCTGAAACTGTA